GTCAGAGGGAAATTAGACTATAAAAACCCTTTAGAACTCTCAAATGATCAAACCCTTTCTCAATACATGCAAGAACACGCAGAAAATATAAAATTAATTAGCCAAGAACTTCATCAAAAATTAACCTCACAACAACAATCTTCTTTAGATAAAATGAATAAAAATAGGAATGTAGTAAACATTGATCCCAATAAACCACTTTATGCAAAAACTTTCCCTCAGAAATCAAAAGTTAAAGAATTAGATAAATATAAAAAAATTGACAAACCTATTGTAGAAAAAAGTAATGTCATAACTACACAAAAAAGACAACTTCACAAAAAAGAATTAAAACCGCAACGTAAAATTGTTTCAGATGAGGCAGATCATCCCCTTCCTGCTCCTTCTACCCATCGCTATGAACTTAGAAGTAAAAAGCATTAGCAATCCCATACTACCAATGGCCATAGGAAAAACCTATATATCTGCCACGAAACACACATCCAATTTTCACATAAACCTTACAGAAATCGAAAATTCCTTATTTAATATAAAAAATATTTTAATTCAATTGGACAAAGATATTTTAAATAAAAAACAAAACGAAAGTTTTTCGATTCTTACGTTTTACAAATTTAATCAAACCTCTGAATATCTTCAAACAATTTTGAGAAATACCAAAATTTTTCACAAGTTTAATCGACAAAAAAGGGGACTACTTAACGTAGTAGGTCAGGTCGACAAATGGCTCTTTGGCACTCTAGACTCAGACGACGAAACCCGCTACAATAATTATTTCAATACACTGACAAAAAATCAAGACATTTTAAATAAAAATTTTTATAAAGAACAATCAATTCTATCCACAGTTACCCAGGAATATACTAAAAATTTAGATAAAATCAACAATAATCAATTACTTATATTAGAAAAAATTAATTTACTTGACAAAAATCAGCTAAACCTATCTAGTGCCTTATATATTTCCTTAATTTTGGACAACGTAATGTTACAATTAAATACATTAAATTCAATAATTAATAATATCGAAAATGCAATCTCATTTGCCCATGTAAATAAAATGCACAACTCTATACTTAATCCAAACCAACTCTTAACATTAATAGAAAATATAAAAACAATATACGGTCCAAACCGAATACCCGAATTCAAAGAATTAATAAATTTTTATAATTATCTATCTGTTCAAGTCATTATTAAAAATAATTCAATACTCTTTTCAATACACACACCAATTATATTACCCACCCACTACATCCTTCACAAAATATTCCCAATACCTATTGTAAACAAAACTATCCTTCTATCTAACCCTTACATCCTACTCACAAAAGAAGATTACTGGACCACAGAAGAAGAATGTCCACAACTAGAAGACCTTTTCATCTGTAAACAAACCGCCTTATCAAAAGACGAACACTGCCTCTTCGAGCTTTTAAAAACATCAAATAATATGTGTCCAATGATCAACGTTAAGTATACAAAAAGTACCATTCAACGCCTATATGGTAACGAAATTTTGGTAATTCCTGTAAACGAGACAATTGCCCGAGACAAATGTCAACGAGGACTATACAAATTCTCTGAACCAAGCATCGTCAGCATATCTTCATGCCCTGTTGAGATAGGAAACTTAACTTTTGAAATCGAAACAAAAACAGAATTTCAATATGTTTTAGAACTGCCAAAATTCTCCTATTCCCAAGATAGTAACAACATCTCCAAACTAACCCTCGAAGAAATAAACTTAGACGAGATGAAGAAAGCACAGAAAATACTGTCAACACTCCAGCTACAGCCTCTGGACAATCCCGGATCTTCATTGAACCTTGCGACAGCTTCAATTTTCACCAGTGCCGCCCTTGTATGCGGAGTCCTTCTATATATTGGATGGAAAAAATGGAAGAAACCCGTTTCATCCCAAAACAACCACCAATACAAGAATGCCCCTATGGACAACCCCTTAGAGGAGATTCGAAAAAACGACCAGCCATTGCAGCCCTTATTTTCCGAACTTGAGGAGGGAGGAGATACGTGACGCAGTCCGTCCCAATCATAGTTCATGAACCGACCTAGTTATTATTTTACTATTATATATTGCAAACAATTAATTTGCTGACATTACATTTCATGTTATTGAATATTAGATATACCTATTCACTTTATGATTAACTTTCGTACAGTACGCAGTTACTTTATATTGTCAAATTATTAAATTGTAATTTTCTTGAATAAAATAAATTTTTTAAAAACAAGTTAGTTACAATAAAATACATAACTCCCGTCAAGAAAAATTTTGGTTAGAAATCAAAAGTTTATTGTTTTATAAGCTAAATATTATGCTTTCTCTATGGATACAACCTTTGAATAAGAAGACTAAGGAAGGAGTATATTAAAAATCTTAGGTACACCGCGATGGGCATCAAATATGGCCGACTTAAATTCCGGTTTATCAGTGTCGTTCTAATTTTATTTAAAAAATGTAAAACTATGATGTAGGGTAGACGTGGGGTAGACTCAATAATTTGTTGTTTTATTTTACGTTGTGAATAAATGTTGGTAGTTATTAAAATTGTTATAAAAATATATAATTCTAATAAAAATAGATAAGTTATAATAAGTATTTATTAACACAAACATCCGATACGCTACTGAAGCAGGTAAGTCAAATTAACGTATTTAAATTCTTTGACATCTAATCTTTGACAAGTAATAAATAAAAGCTAAAATGCAAGAAAAATATATAATTTAGTTAATTTAAGTGAATTTCAGAAATGATCGGTTTACTACACGTATGTATATTATATAGTCACTTACTAGCGAAAAGTTGTTTCATTATTTCACTCGATTTTTGCCGAGATCTACCGCACGATACACATCCAACTATTTTAGAGTCTTTTTCAATAAATCGCGATAGTGTCACTGTTAATTTAAGTTCTGCCACAATTTCCATCTAGATTTACTACCTTTATACAACTATTAGTAGTAGAATAAATAATAAATAACATAAAATAAGCTCCGTAAAGACTGACAAATCCATAAAATTTCAAATCAAATTCAAATGTGTCAAATGAATCGTCAAACAGAACTGTCAAGGATCCCCACCCTAGAGTGCTTTTTCCGCCCACCATGCATGAATACATGGATAGCATTATGCTCCTTCCTTAGGCTTCTTATTCAAAGGATACAACAGACTACCGCAAGCTGTTGCTAGGATATTTTATTAATTTTAATTGTGTTTTTTAGACATTGTGAATGATCGTAAACTAAAAAGTATAAAGTGTAATTGAAACTACTAATTTATTCCACTAATTGGGAGGTTCTGAATGAATCTTGAGAGGTATAACCACTAATTATGACGTTCTGAATGCTTACATTAAAATTAGGTGAACAAACTTCTACGCTAATTCAAACTACTAATTTATTCCACTGATTTTGAGGTTCTGAATGAAGCTTAACAGGTTCTACCATTTTTAGTTTTTCACCTCTAGAAAAAAAAACGGCAAAGGGTTTTTAATTTTTCACCTATTTAAGCAGAAAAAAACATGTTATACAATATGACCTAAATCTTTGTATTATGGCGCGTTCTCACGACTCGTGTACTTGGCAAGTATTTTTTATTGGCCTACAGGGTCTGGCGGGAGTGCGGCGCAGTTCCTATAATAAATAACTTAGATATTCTGTATAGATGCCCAACGCACCATGTATACCCTGTATACCAATTACAAATATTTGTCAAGTAGACGAGTCGTGAGAATACAGAACACACAGAAATCAACCGAAGAATTAAGTTAACATTGAATGAAACTCAATCATATTCAAATCTAGAATGCCACTTTATCTAAAGAAGAAAACATTCGACCGATGTGTACTACCAGTCATGACCTATGCATGCGAAACATGGACTCTTAAAACGGACATTACAAGGAAACTGCAGGTCGCACTATGTTCAATGGAACAAAATATGCTGGGCATAACCAAAAGAGACCGTAAAAGAATAGAGTGAATACGACAAAAGACCCAAGTAATAGATATCATCCACAGAATCAAATCCCTCAAGTGGCAATGGACAGGACACCTGGCAAGAAGGACGGAGAACAGAAAACAAAAATTATAGCATGGTATAGTAAACGCCACGAATGTTTGGGAGTGATTCATCGGTCGCTACCATGCCAACTCATGTGTTCAAGGTCACATAAAACTTAATTCCAGTGCCGTGGTGTTTCAAGTCATATAATAACCAATATATAATCTGTTGTAATTTGTTGTTTTAACTGTCAAAGTCTTGTCAAAACATATATTTGGTTATAAATATAAAATGGAATGCCCCATTGGTCGCACTGCAAGCACACCAATGGACTGACGCACAAAAACGAATCAATCAAAGACACGCGATATAGTATCGTCTTTGTCAATCACTCTAACATTTTAGAATAAGTAGAAGGAGCGCAGGCAGATGATTAGACCGGGCCTTTAAAAACCTACGTCTGCGGTAAAAATTTACGTTTTTAATGTAAAAATGATAGCGCGCGTGTCGATTCTAACTTCATCAAGCGATAAATCACTCCCAAACATTCGTGGCGTTTACTATACCCACGAGGAATTGAGTCCTCGAGGAAAACCAAACCTTAGATGGGATCGTGATATTAGAAAATTAGCAAAGGGATAACTTGGGCCCGCATAGCCAACAATAGACAGCAATGGACCCAGCTATAAAGAGAGTATCTGTGATGGGGAGCTACATCATAATTAGAAATGGTTGAATAAGCTGAGAATGATGATGATGATGATCGAAAATCTGCGATGGCTATGAAATGAAGATTGCTGTCATTTTGTATGTAAAATTATATAGGGAATGTGCTCGATGTTTATTTCCAAGCCAACTGGAACAATAACAACCACGTTGCAATTGCACTTACTTTTTTAGCTATGATTTCGGTTGATTGAACAGCATGATTTGAAAATTTGTTTAATTTAAATCGTTTTTTTTTTCATTATAGAAACTAGAGCAAGATTTAGAAAATGAAAGAAAATCTAGTGTGGACTTTAAAAGTAGGAGCAACGCCAACGCGCAAAATTTGAAGAACATGAGAGCGAAAATCGCCGAGCTGGAAGGTGACAAAAAGGCGTCTGAAACTACTAACACTGAGTTGCAGAGAAAAATCAGGTAATGACCAAACTATCCATTGAAATCTATTGCTAAGAATGCCACTTTCGTCTGCTTCAATTAAACCGTATAAAACGCATTGTTGTTGTTTCTCATTATTAGGAGATAGATTACTGTGCCTTGTTATTTTGAAAGCTAACATTTGCTTGACTTGTTTTTTTTAGTAGGCCTTCGTTATTTCATTCTTTTACAATTTATTCTGCTGTCTTAATTGAAATTGAAAGTTTTTTTATCGATGGTCACAGTATACCATATCATTATGGTATACTGTGATAAATATCGAAAAAAAAACGCATCAGAGACGGCTGGGGAATGACAATCAATGATAATTTTGGCGAGTTCAATCTCAAGACTTCATTCACATACTAAAAATTTTGACCTAAAAGTTGTCACAAATTAACACTAATTATACAGAGAGAGCCCAATTAAAACATTATGTCATAGAGTTCAACTTTACTAATTCACGGGTGCATGCACGGCTCTAATATACAGGGTGTTTCAAAAAACATGTGCCATCTCTCGTGGGAAAATTCCTGACGTGAAAATAAGATTTATTTTTCATATCAACATAGGTCCGATTCTGCTTTGTTTTGTAGCTACAGGGTGTTAAATTCTTATAAATTCGATTGATTGTAATTTTCTTCCAAGTACTTTTAGTGTTTCGAATGATAAATCCGACATATTTTAATGTTAAAAATTTTTCGCCATATTCACCAGTGACGTGCATATGGGTTATCATTGGAATATTTTTCTACAAAAAGCATATACGCCACTGACTTTTTTTTATCTTGATAGCGAAATAGTGTAAGCAGTTTAATGCCGATTAAAAGTTGTGTCTTGGTATTTTGTCAAGTTCAGCCTCATTGATAAGATAAACGCAATTTTATTAATTTTTCTTGATCCAAGTCTAATAGCATCCTTTAAAAAATTAATATCATTAACTTGCGAAAGTTTTAAATAAGTACTCATTGATTCTTCATCAAAAAAATATAAAAACAGTTCCTATAAACATGGGTATTGAAATGCATAGTTTTAGAGTTACAGGATGTTAAAACTTTCAAAATTTAGTTTTTTTGAAATAATTATCTTAAATACTATTATTTTTTTATTCGAAATTGCTGTAGGTAAGATTAATAGTAATAATAACTAAAAATGAAATTATTTAATAATAAATTAGCTAAAATATATGGTTTAATAATTTTATTTTAATTTTAATTTTATTAAATATCATTAATAAAATAGCGTTTATCTCATCAAGAAGGCCGGATTCGACAAAATATCAAGACATAGCTTTTAATTGGCATTAAACGGCCTGCAGAATTTTGATATCAAAAGAAAAAAGTCAGTGGCGCACATGCTTTTTTTTTAAATATTCCAGTAATAACCCATATGCACATCCCTGGTGAATTTATCTCCACTTTTTTAGTATTAAAATATATAGCACTTATAGTAACTTTTACCTCCAAAATTTCATTCGAATCACTAAAACTAGAAGAAAATTATAATAAATCGAAAGAATATTAAGATTTTAACACCCTGTAGCTACGAAACAAAGCAGAATCGGACCAATGTTGAAATGACAAATAAATCTTATTTTTACGTGAGGAATATCCCCACGAAAGATTGCACATGTTTCTTGAAACACCCTGTATAAGCTCACTAGTTTTAGGATTTAGTTTAGTTCACACTTAATCAGTGATACTTCTAACTGAAACGTGTAAGCAAAATAAATAAAGACAATGGGAGTCCGAAATTCGTTTTAGGTAGTATCAGACATAGCTACTTTCGTTGCGCAGCACATTAAAAAACTGCGCAACTTGATCTGCAAGTGTGAATACCTAGGCAACCTGCACTACGTTGCGATCGCAGCTTGGGTGCGTAGGCTACTTATTTGTTGCGCGCAGTTTAAGACATAGCCGTGTGTGAACAGTTGTTGAGGAAGGTTGCAAGTACAGCAAAAGATTACTAATCAGTTAAACCTTTTACTGCGGACATCGGTGCAGTATTCTGTTGGTATGCCCGAAATGTATACACTTTTTTCAGTTAACTCCAGGATTTATATGTATGTATTTAGTAAAGAATTAACCGACAAATTGCGATGTCGTCGAAGTCAAAACAAGCGATTTGGAACAGAGAACAAGTAAAATGTTTAATAGAAACGGTAGAAGCAAGGGAGTGTTTATGGAACGTAAAAAGTCCATTCTATCACAACCAAAAGAAAAGACGAGTCACTATTTCGGAAATTTCTTCTGAATTACATATTATGCCCAAATGATGAAGACAAAAAAGAAAATTCGCCTCCAAAGTCACATATAAATATGCCGCTGCTAACACTGTCTCGTAATCCATTTAAAAAAAAACGCAACCGTCTCCCAAAAGGTACACACACGATACTTCGAGCTGTGGGTGGTGTACTGTTGAATGTTGCCCCTACAAGGCTGCGGCTACCAAAATATGTTGCAAAAGTAGCACTTTGGTGTGAACATATGAAAAGCATGTAGTGTTGGCCTGCAATTTTTTTAGGCGGTCGCTGCATAAAAACTGCGCGTTTTGGGCTACTTTCTGCTGGTGTATAAACACTGTATGCAACTTTTGCAGCGGCTGTAAAAAAATGCGCAACAAAAGTAGCTGTGTCTGATACTACCTTTTTTAGTTTTAGTGCTGAATCATTGTCTATCACATTCAAAGATACCAAAAGTTTTAACCCGGACTGTATTCAGTAATTATTTTTAAATAATGAATTCGTTTCAGACATCTCCAAGACCAGATGAAACAGAAAGAAAGCCAGTGGATCAAGGAAAAGGAAGATCTGACCAAGAACATCAAACACCAGGAGAATCTGTTGCAGAAACTCACCGCGGACAAAAATCAGTTCGAAACTAGGTTAATATTAGACATAACGTTACGAGCGTTTGCGGAATTACTGTTCCCCTTCCAATTGCTTTATTACTGATGCATATGTATATAACTTGCGCCCACAATATATTGCTAACGGGGAAATATATATTGTTCTACCGAGACTGACTATTGTATAAATCAATTTGCAAAAAGATATATTGTCTCTTGTCTCGTTCGTGTAGTATGTAGTCGATCGATAAATCGGTGTGTATCTTTGTACATTTTTATTTAACTTTGTTTTGCTTAAAATATACGTATATTTTTCTATATTTAAATATTGTCTATACATCTGTGGATTATTGTAAAGGACAATATTCTTCTTGTAAAGGACAAAATCTTATTTATTTTTTAAATTAGGCACACTAGGTTGAAAATTCGTGGAGACAAATTACTCTACATTTATTGTAATCGCAAAACATTTTCCGATGCACATGTCATCAATCATATCGACATTGACACTAAAGTCTATAAACCTGACTAAATGAAATAAATGTTCAAATTTAAGATACCGAGCAGCTCTTCATTTTACTTTATAGAGCAAATGATTGTAACAGATATTTTATTTAGATTAAAGCTGCAAAAATTAGTTTAAACCGCATTTTATTATCGCTATGTTGGTCACACTGCGCCGTGTTCAGCAATGTTGTCCTTTATTACTTGACAATTATCCTAGTGTCAGTCATTATTTTGTATAATATCGTGTTGTTGTTGAATCTTTGTGAGTAATTCTCGTTTTTTTATCTATTTTCATAGTCTTTTTGTAAAAAATTGCAATTTTAAGCACAAACAGTTCTTTTAAGAACTAAATTTTCGAGTTTTTGTATTGCATTTCTTGAATGTGTGTGATCAAAATATGCCGAAGCATTTAAACAGTCGAAGCAAAGAACTTGTAGCTTCCCTGTTTTTTTTAACTATTTTGAATGAGAACGTGACAAAGGTCCTTTATTACCCTTGACTGCAGTCAGAAAAGTAAGTTTGATTGATAAGCACATACCACTTTCAAAGTTAGTTTTGATTAAATTCTGTGATTATTAGTTTGTGCATTAATAGCACCCTCTTGTTATTACCACTTATGGCGTTGTAAGATGTACATCAATAAATAAATAACCCATAATAACGCTTATAATAATCATATATTCATAATAGACTAGTTTTTGCCAATATGTAATAAGTAAAATAAGCTATAAAACAAATAAATCAATTAATCACTAAAATATTAGAGATATTAAATTAAAAATAAAACGTACACTATTTAAAAATGATATAATAAATATGTTGTTTGTCAATTTTAAATTAAGATTCATCTCATAAATCCATCACAATCTGGCACCGCTGTCACCATCGCTTGTCACTCAAAGTTGATCACGTGCATCGGAAATTGTTTTGCGATTACCATACATATAGTACGTCTGCTGGATCTGTGTCTACGAAAGGAATGCGGACAAAAAACATTTAAATAAACAACACTATATTTTAAGCGGCACGATCAATAATATTGTCAATATTTTTGATTATTGACAATATTATTGAGCGTTTGAGCGTACATATTGATGTACTTTCAATATATTGATGGATTTTCGGGATCCTGAAAATACTCGACAATATTAAAGGCGGAGCTAGTCGTATTGACAATATATTGATCGTTAGGTCGCATGATTGACAAAATTTGACTAGTTTATTCGTAACCATGGCGGAAGACGGAACATCGCCATCGTTGTTTTCACCAGTTTTAGATCGCAATCATCAGGCTCCCGTTTCTTAACGTACTCTAGAAGATTTAGTTGGCCGAACCTTTTTCTTTTTGGATATCCATTTTTTATATAGCGTTTTTTCTTAAATTTTTTCCTCTATTTTTTCTCACTGACTGACACTCACTGCCAAAATGACACGCTTTTTTTATCTTTAATTTTTTGGCATAGGGTATAATTCACACTTAATATCTGCACAAAACTTAATATTGATATATGTATTAACCGTGTCAGGCCAACTTTCAAATATTGATAAAATATTGACATTATAAAACATTGACAATATTATTGATCGTGTGAGGGCCGCTTTATACGTCGACTTGACGAGTACGTCACCGCAAATCGCTCCGCCCACTCATTTTATTGGCTACTTGCAAATTTGTCGAATTTTTATTGATGGGACGCGTCGTCTTATTTTTTACGAAAAACATTGAGAGAATATCGTTTCCCCTCTCACGGATACCCCGTAGCTACAGAACGGACAGATGTACTGTATGTATTTTTATACAAAAACAGAAGGAAAAAACTAGTCGGCAAGCCCTCAATAACTCGCAACCGTATACACCAGTGTACACCAGTGCGAGTTGTTGAGGATTGCATACCTTTTGGGGGAGTAGTTTTAGGAAAAAACGGTTAACACCGTGCTCGGCCAGCTTTAGCCGAAAAAATGGCCCCAAATAACCGAAAAATAAGTTTTTTGCAAATATCTGACAAAATATGCAATTTACAGAATTTCTAGGAATAAAAAATTATGCTTAGTTAATTACCTATAAAAATGGTTCTTATCATATTTTACGCAGAATTAGTAGTTTTCGAGATATTCCGCCTCGAAGATTCCTGAATTTTCTGTGTCTTAATAACGCTCCAAAGATAGATTTCAAAGCGTATCATTGATTGATAGGACAAATTGTTTAATAACTCGGCTAAAATTTAATATTTTTTTATGATTCCAAGTTCATTTAAAAGTTAGAATCAATAGCTATCACATTTTGGACCTTGATTGAATTTTGTCATAATTTATGATAATAAAAAAAGCCCGGGAAACATATTTCTTGGCCCAAAAATTTTTAGATTTTTACAAACTTATTCATATTTTCACTAATAATAGCTAGTTCGTCAACATTCTTTTTGTGCGAGTGCCAGAGATATCACAAGCATTGTCGTACAAAATTTAGTAAGTCATGTTCAACAGCCCCTAGACCATCAAGGATAGGACTTCCCTCGGAAGCTGATATTTCAGACCAAATGGTGAAGGTAGTTTATTACATCACATACATGTATGTATACGGGAAAATGGACATACATTCTCTGAAAGAGTTGCAAGACATTGCATATAATTTTGAACTTTTATCATTGATTTTCAACTCCTCATTGATGTTTGTTACTTAAAAAGATATTATGCAATTTTCTTTGGTTTACGACACTTTTTGAAAATCCCAAAAAAGCGGAAAAAGCCATTCACGAATAGTTGTTTTTTATTAAAATGTGAATACACAAATACTTCAATCTGTCTGGGTTGCTTAAAGAGACTCTAAGAACAAATAAATGTTAAAACAATCTTGAGAAATTAGCTCTTATTAGTCAAAATATGAATAAGTTAATAATAAAATCTGAAAATTTTTGGGCCAAGGAATGGTTTGCCCGGCTTTTTTATTATCGTAAAATATGACAAAATTCAAATAAGTTTCAAAATGTGATAGCTGTTGATTGTACCTTTTAAATGAACTTTGAATCTAAGTCGCCAACTTGGGTCTTTTCGTGTCCTTATTTAGGTTGATTCTCAATATACCTTCCATATCAGCTCCCTTCCGTTTACATAAAATATTATATCATGTAAATTGAATAGGACAATGCACACTATCCTTCGGTTTCCCTTCCGTACCGTATCCTTTCCTTCCATCTCTACTTCCATACATTCTTTTGGCGGACGAACTGAAGCGTATCGGAAATAGCGTTGCCAAGTTCTTACATTTGTACCAGCTCTGTGAATATTTTGATCATATTTATTTATTCTTTCACCTCTTAATTAAATCTATTACCTTTTTCAAAAGATACAAATTTTTAAAATAAAACTTTCGTAATATAAATTGTACAATAAAAAGTATGGAATTGATACGGAACGGAAGCTTACGTATAGCGTCAATACAATAAAAATACGTAACCGATATGGAATGGATATGGAGTGAAAGCGGAAGGTATAGTGAGAATCAACCTTTAATTGGACTACATTCAGTTTTTTTAAACACATATCTTGATTGAAGTTTAAGAGTTGAAGATAAAAATAATCTAAAAAGTTATTTCAATATTCGCATTTTTACCAAACGAATTCTTTTAAATGGTATCTGTAAAATAAATTTACGTTATTTGTGAATTACACTATTTATCTTCATTATATCTATAATTATAACAAAGGGACACATCAGATTATTGCATGTTTTTTCTATAATATAATAATACTTTTAGTTCACCATTTTGTCAAGTAACAGTGCTTTGGTAACAAAGGCATTTTAAAATAATGTCTCGTCTTGATCTTTAACTTTTTATTCAAAGATCTTTAACCGAGCGTTACCACGGTTTTAGATAGTTGTGACATTTGTTGGGTAACATTTAACGTCACAATTTCTTTATCGAAAGTGTATTTAATTGTTAGGTGAGTTTTTTGAGATATTTTAATATTATATTGGTTTATAAATATAAATACCTACTGGTTGTCATAGATAAATGCGCCACAACATCACATAACATCCCCCTTTAGAACTTTTTCTTTAATGGCCATAAACATAAAATCATAGACAAACTAATAAAAAGAGACTGACAAATCTCATGATAAAGAGTGGGACCGCGTTCCCGTAGCGCAACTCAGAATAACAATTTTGAAACGAATTAGCAGGACCATGGCAGGACGTACGTCTTTATTGCTATCTTCCTTTATTATGTGTGCTTTATATGAAAAAGAAAGAGATAGGTATAAAACGTATCGTAAGACATTATCGCACATTCTGGCTGGCGGAAAATTTAAATTAGTATTCTTTCATTCTGAAACTGAAAATTTTCACTCAAACTGATTTATTCCCTATACCACGTAAAGGGAACAGTTTAAGTGAAAATTTGCAGTTTCTTTCAGAACGAAAGAATACTACTATTATAAGGGAAATTATAAAAGAAAGCAAAAATTGTATTGTTTTATAAACATATTTATTTATACATAAAAATAAATAAACTTTTTATAATATAATAACAAAAAATAACGGTGTTTATTCCACCCACCTACTAATTTTAAATGCAGAAGAACTGACTGTTGCAGGAAACGATCGGCCAATTTTTTTAAAGATCATTAAAAATCTCATTTTCGAAAAAACTACCTAATTGCAATAACAAAGTGAATATCAAAGCAAAGAAGACTTTACGAGAATCATGATCCTGAACCATGTTCAAGTCCAGTTTTAATCCTAAAACAAAAGTAAAATAAGTACCTAGTTTCTGGTTACTATAAACCCGCTATAAACTACCTACCCAAAAAATGAAAAAAAATAATTGTATTAATTTGTTATGTTAAGGGAGGTTCGAAATATTTTTGACACTACTGCTTCTACTTTTTTCTTAATAAGATGATAAATATAACTACTTACTTTTATTTTACCGGGTGTCTTTAACATATCTATCAGAGAAAGGGGGCACCAATACATATAGAAAATAGATGATACTGGCTCCTGCAGCAAATAAAATAACAAATAGTATAACCTGAAATTATAAGTAACAAAATATAAATACCTATATGGAACAAAGAAATTTGTTCCCTATCCATATTCATAAGCCAATAAAATGGAGAGTTTAGAAGAAAAGATAAATCACCAAAAGAAAAATTAACAAACATGACGAATTGTCATGATGTTGTCATCTTGGCTGTCATGATGACGAAAGGCGATTGTTCTAATTTCTATTTAGAAATTACGTTTTATATGGCTGCTTCTTTCTCTCTTGTTATATTAGAATGAGATAGTGGGCCCAATAGACGCAATGCGCAGATCAACATTAATAGAACGAAATTTTGCGGTCTGAGTTGCGCTACGGGAACGTTGTCCCTCTCTTTGCCATTTAATTTGCCAGTCTCTTTTTATTTGTTTGTCTATGCATAAAATTTTCATTGTTTTCAAACTATATTATTAGATTTTCGTGTATTTTGTGAATGTATAAATGTTTTCTTAGTATAAAGTTGCATAATATTAATTTAAATTATATTGTATACATATTTAAAATTAAAATATTATAACATATATGTCAGTTGTCGTCTAAAATGTCATCTTGATAACGAAAAGTTAGTTATTGTCAGAGATAGTTAAAATATTAAAATTCACAAGTTATATTGTGTTATATTTTATATTATTTCAAAAACAAAAACATAATGGTATACAGCGTAATTTTGATATGCAGGTTCAAAACAAAAAGTGCTGTTATATTTTTCAATTTTCGTTGTCAGCCGCGGAAGTTTCAGTGATTTTAGTGTTGTCGGATATTTTTACTTGCGAAGTAGAAATATTCCGTTTGGATTGCAAAACTAAAAGTGGCAGTTTTATTACAATGTGAGTAAGCGTTTGTCCAGTTTATATTTTACTTTTTTCATACTTACGATAAATATACATACAGGTTGTTAATTTGTTTATTACTCGCGGCAAGAGCTTTATGGTTGAAATATGGCAACCTCGGCCCGCTTGTCGATAGACGACGCGACGCGACGGGACGAGTCGGCAGAAAACCCTATAAGCGCATGCGTTCTCAATAGGCAGTGTTGCTATTCTGTTCCCCTATAAGAAACTGTGCAGTTAACAACCTCTATATTGAAATGTTATAATTCGTTTAATTTAAAAAATGTTAGAAAACAAACCAAAACTGTTATGTAATATATTCCATTTAAATGTAATATATTACTTTACGGTTAAAAATGTAAATTTAAAAAATATATTATAAATATACACAGGAATTAAATGAAATTTTTAGTATGCTAACAAACACGAGAGGCGCTTTTTATTTACTTTCATTAGGGACTTTAACTTTCATTTCTTAACATGACAAATGAAGTGCCAAAAGGGGATGTTTTATGCACACCAATTATTAATGATGGGATTATTAATCAATTATTAATGATGGGAGGAAACTCGAGCGAAAATTCGCTCGAGTACTAGATTATTGGAATAACCGACATCGCTCGATTATGAACGAGCGATGCAAGTGACGAGTACCAAGCGACGAACGCAAGCGATCCTAGAATGAAATAAATTGAAATCCGATTTTAATGTAACATGCTCGATAAAAAGTTAAAGTAGCAAATTTATACGACGCCGTATATATATTTATCCGTTGCGTATCTGAGGGACAAAATTTTAGTACCTACATCGACAATGCTTTGAAATAAGCTAAATCAAGCGATGAAGCGAATCGCTCGCCAATCGCTCGCCAATTCATCACCGCGCACGCTACTTACTGCTTGGCGCTTGCCATTAACGAGTACTTACAACAAGCGACGGGTGAAAAACCGTATTTTTAAATACGAGTGATATTTCGCTCGAGCGATCACTCGGTTACTGCAATCGATTAAAACTCGATTAATTGAAATTAATCGGTTTTCCCATCACTAGCAATTATCTGTGACTAACAGAAGGTATTTATAAACAAATATAATATTAAAATATTCAGTATATAGGGAAATTAAAATATCTTTGGTTGCACATACTAATGGTTGATTCTCACTATACCTTCCATATCAGCTTCCTTCCGTTTACATAAAATATTATAATATCATGTAAATGAATAGGATAATGCACACTATCCGTTCCGTTTCCCTTCCGTTCCATATCCTTTCCTTCCATACATTTTTTTGGCGGACGGACTGAAGCGTATCGGAAACAGCGTTGTCAAGTTCTTAGATTTGTACCAGCTCTGTTAAAATTTTGCTGATATTTATTCATGCTTTTAGCTCTTTATTAAATCTATTACCTTTTTCAAAAGATACAAATTTTTAAAATAAAACTTTCGTAATGATATAAATTGTAGAATAAAAAGTATGGAACTGATACGGAACGGAAGCTTACATATAGCGTCAATACAATAAAAATACGGAACGAATATCGAATGGATATGGAATGGAAACGGAAGGTATAGTGAGAATAAGCCTTAATACGTCCACCAGCAATCACCATAAGACGACGCATGGTGTCATTGATGACGTGCAACGAAAGTTGTTTTAATTTCTCTTTACTAAATATCTCAGACATTGATTGTATAATTGACAAATAATATCGTTACGAACGGTCCACGGTCCAGATATTTTCCATGGTTGTTACCTCTTTTTTCTCCCGCACTCGGACGCTGAACATCGAATACCAGGTGAGAACAAAGAGTCAGGTGGTGGCGAACTGACGTGATAACCTTCTCCGTTTTAGGTTGGGCGCGATCGAGGACCAGAAGGTTAGCACCGAGGAGGAATTGAGAAATGCCATCGAGCACATGGACACTGAGCTGGTCCAGACCAAGACTGAGCTGGCCGAGGTGACGGTTCAGAGGAACGAGGCCCTGGAGAAATGCTCCGAGTTTGAGGGTTACATCGCCCGAATGGGCATAGAGTGCAAGGAGACCATGAATAAAGTCAGCTGCAGTATAAATTGGGGAAAAGGTATATCTAAAGCACGTTCAGCTATCGTCATCGTTGATTCAGACAAAATAGGCATTCTAGTTTGCATTGATTACCAGCTTAAAAATAATAATATACAGGGATTTTAAAAATACAGCTTTATTATTTCGTATTTATCTGAAACACCTAAATTAATGTTTCAAACCCGTTTTTAGATATAGTTCATACCAAATAAACTTTTAGTCACGTGTTTAAGGTTGACCGGCACAGCGTTGCCCACTTTTACATATTTTCTTTTAATCAAAATATTTTAGGTAACAAAAATAAATTAATTATAAATATATAAACAGTTATTATTTACATTAACAAAACTCACCTCCTTAACAGCAATTAAGGGTCATATACCACTTTCCCGTTCAAAATATTCTAATAAAATTGGAATGAATATTTTATGGCTATTAATCCATCTTGTACCACTTCGTACTGAAAGAGATTCTAAAAAGATCAATGTTCGACTGCAAGGTCTGCTAGTAAACATTTTTAAGCTTAAATTATCACAACACTATTTATGTAAACCAAAAACTCGATATATACAAAACTAAAGTGTCAAAACGAATGACAATGTCAAGAAATAAATAAATAAATGTGGCAACTTGACATTTTTACAGCAGAGCTACCACCTGAATCCTCAGCGGGAAATTTGAATTCCAGTTAATCGGCCCGGCGCCGAATATGTCCATGGTTGGTATCAATGAATTTAAAAATTGCACCCTCAATTACGTAACTAAAAGTTTAATTGGTATCAAATATATTAGTCTGTTTATAAGACGTTTATCTCATTGCTATCGGAATAAAAACATGTAGCTAATTAGTATTTGAAAAATGCTTTAATTTCTCGATTTATTTTAAGGTAAAGAAAATAATGATAGTGTGGCGGAAGACTACATCCAAGACATTGCAAAAGATTTACGAATTCGCGAGTTGGAAGACAAAATAGGAAGTTTGGAACGAGAAAGGATATTGCATTTTGAAGAAAAGCGACAATTTGAGGTCTCGATATATAACGTGAAATAGCCACAGCATTCTTACAAAATTATACCAACACATCAAACCCACACACAATTTCTACTATACATTAACTGCCACAATACCCTAAACATTTATATTAACTCTGGAGCTTTACTAAAGTCTGTCCAACAAGAGAATACTGACAGTGACAGTTAGGGCCTGTTATTTTAATTTTTCAGGTAAATTGTGTTTTCTGTAATTTTTTGAATGTCGTCTATAGAAATCTTTGGACAGACTTTCCTGTTAGATCATTAATTAGCTCCCCCATTCAAACAAAATGTCGAAAACTAAATACAACGAATCAATGGGCACCTACCGCAATAATACCTACCGTCCACAATAACCATTTTATTCGATAGTCAAGCAACAATAACAGCGATCAACTCAGTAACCATCGATTCAAAGTTGGTCAAAGAATCCCTAGAGAAGCTGAATAAATTATGCAAACAAAATAAACTCCTCCTACTGTAGATGCCAGCCCACCAATGGTAATGAAAAAGCAAATGATCTAGCTAGAAAAGGAGCGAACTAACTGGACCAGAACCGTTCTGCTTCCCACGTGGGAATCAAAATCTGAACTGAAGAATCTGGAAGACGATCAAATATTTTTCTTTATTTAAGTAAGAACAATCTTGGAATTGTCAAGAGGTTTTATGACAGGACACTGCCTTCTCAATGAACACTTCAGTAGATTGTAGAAATTAAGAAATAGCAGCGAATGCAGATTCTGTGGGAAAAATGGGGAAACCAGAATACCTCATCACTGAGCTCGCCGAGACGACAACCATTCGTGCCATAAATTTTGGTACGATTGATATTTTAAATGGAGAACTAACCTCTGTACTGTCTCAAATACTGGCTTTTATCAAAGCCCTGATACTATATAATGAGTTATATCTTTAGAAAGGGGGACAAAATAGATCCATAAGGTCGCGGTGACCTTTAATCCCCCTCCCCAATACAATCTACATTTACAAATCTACGTTATTTCCTACATATGGCATATGGCCGAGAGCCTAGTATGTCAACTAAATCCGGACTTAATCGGTATAACATACGCTCTTAGTGTATAATGTTGTATAATATAATAATGTATATGTTAATTGACAGATAAAAACTGTCAGTAAGGTTAGCAAAAACCTATGCCCAGGCCGGTCCAGAGTTTAAAAATTGTTTTAGGGTATTGTTGTGGATTTGTGTGTGTTTTTTAAGCTTCATTTTTTTACAACCTCGCAACCTCGTTTTACAACCTCGCAATTAGTGGAATAAATTAATGGTTTCAATTACACTTTATACTTTTTAGTTTACGATCATTCACAATGTCTAAAAAAATACAATTAAGATTAATAGTATATCCTACCAACTGCTTGCGGTAATCCTGATAGAAAAGTAGTAGTATTAGTAGTTGTATCCATAGAGAAAGCCTAATATTTTGCTTATAAAACAATAAACTTTTGATTTCTAACCAAAATTTCTTTTGACAGATGAAAATCAAAGGCCATAATGACATTCCTCGCAAATTTTGAAGTATAATTAGTGGAAAAGTTAAAAGTTTGTTAACTTTTTGCACTAATTGAAGATTACTACCACTAATTTTGACGTTGTGAATGCTTACATTGAACAAACTTTTACGCTAATTGAAACCATTGATTTATTTCACTAATTTGGACGTTCTGAATAGAGCTTTACCTCCTAAATTAAAAATTTATTTTAGGAAGATTTAAGCCACGAACCTACAGAAACGGAAAGGCAATTGGGGAAGCAACAAGAGTACATCGCCAGGTACCAACTGTTGTTAGAGGAAAGCGAAAACAAACTGCGAGAAAAGTAAGCACTGAAAACCGTTTGACAATTATTTGGCAAAGACTTATGTTTAGATTTGACGTTTTAAGGTCGACGGAAGTGGCCAACCTCAGATCCGAGATCCGGCAGCTCAAGGTGAGGCAGGAGGCTTTGGAAGAACAAAATTTCAATTGTCCTACGGAAGAGTTGCAGAAGATGGTGGAGGAAGGCCGATACAAACTTAACGAGTTGATGAAAAAGTAAGTTTTTGATTTGGTGCGCATTTGAGGTGCGCCACCCTGTATGTTTTGAAACAATTTTTAATGTGGAATTACATGGGCTAAAGATTTTTTGATGGCTGTGTTGAAATTAAAATACTGTTATAACGAGTCTACTACTTTTTGCCTCTGAGAAAATGTTCAGTAGTCTTTGAACATAAAGGATTTCGATTCTCAATGGTTTTGACATGTTTCCAACAACATTACCAGTTTGCAGTCAAAATATTCAACTTCGTACTGCAAATTAAAATAAAATTAGATTGTAAAAAATACCTAATAATGATTACGTACAATTTTTTATATACCTTTTCAGTTTCTTCCTTCTTAACCAATGTTTATATTATTATAACCGTAACAAGCATTAAATCATAAGAGATGACAATATTATAATCTAAAAACTCAAAATTTGGAGCAAATATTCGCAAAAATTAAATCAATGTCAATATTTCCGCCCCCAGATTTTAAATTACACGAATTCGCAAAATATGAAAAACAACTTTCTGTCAATTTTGCCGCCGCTGTATTTTTTTTAAATCGACCAGTAACAACAATATTCGCTATTCGTGTGTACGGTAATCGCAAAACATTTTCCGATGTACGTCATCAATCATATCGAAATTGACACTAAAGCCTGACTAAATGAAATTTTGGCAAAAATTTTTAAATTTATTGTATAATTTATGATACCCAGCAGCTTTTCATTTTACTTTATAGAGCAAATGATTGTAACAGATATTTTATTTAGATTAAAGCTGCAAAAATTAGTTTAAAGCAATGATTATTATCGCCATGTTGGTCACATTGTGCCGCGATCATCGACGTCGTTTATTATTTAACAATTATCATAATGTCAGTCATTATTTTGTATAATATCGTGTTTTTGTTGAATCAATGGGAGTAATTCTGTTTTTTTTTTGCCGATTTTCATAGACTTTTTTATAAATTTGTACTTTTAAGCACATACAGTTCTTTTAAGAACTAAATCTTCGAGTTTTTGTATTGCATTTCTTGAAATTGTGTGTCGAAAATATGCCGAAGCATGTAAACAGTCGAAGCAAAGAGCTTGTAGCTTTCCTGATGAACTATTTTGAACGAGAACGTGACAATAAAGGTCGTTACCGATATAGTAAATACATTGTTTCTCAATTTTACATTATTCATCTCATAAATCCATCACAATCTGGCAGCGCTGTCGCCATCGCTTATCAATCAAAATTGTTCACGTGCATCGGAAAAAATATTGCGATTACTTTATATCAATAACCTACCTTAACATACCAAATTTCGTTTTTATCTGAAAAAAATATAAATATTGTAGGGGTGAGAACCACCTGAAAACCACCCGATATAGCTATAAAAACACTTAATTGATTCGATTAGTTGATTTATTTTATTATTTTCTTCTCAGGTCTATAGAAAGTGAACAAAAACTTGAGCACTATTCTAGCGTGATCGAAAAGCAAACTCAACAAATGAGCGAAATGGAAAATCTACTGCGTTACAGAGAAAATATGGCCGGTGTTTTGAAAGCTTCCAGAGATGAACTGGTGCTGGAAAAAGAAAGTTTGACGCGATATTCACAGGAAATGAGGACAGTCTTGGCGGAGGTAATTTGTAGAATTATTGATTTAAAATATATATTATTAAAAATATATGTTCATTTAGGTTACAAAAGAAGGTAAAATCAAGGATCGACTGATAAAAGAACTGCAAGAAAAAATTGATCTACGCGAGCGCCAGATCAACAAGCTGGAGAAAGAGGTACGCGAATTGGAGGCCAATTTGATGATGACCAACGAGAAACGGTTCAAACTTCAAGAAACCATCGGAGCGATGGAGAAAGAACTGCAGAGCACGAAAGCTCACGTCAATCAGCTGGCCGACATCAACACTCGGTACGAAACTCAATTTCGGTACTTAAACAACGTCAACGCTCCCCAGCGTTATAGTCCTCGCACTTCCGTCATGTGTCTTCACATGAAGCGTTGCCAAAGCTTCAGTACCAACACTGAAGCTCTTCCTTTAGACCTACCTCACCCTAGACCCTCGGTAACTCGACACAATCAATATAATTCTCGATCTCTGATCGGTCTCTCTTTGCAAACTGTCGATTTCCTGAAAAACCGGTTGAACTATTTGAATGCGATGAACGCGGTACCGGAAGTTCCATTAAAGGAAGGACCGGAACAGCGAGGTCATGGTCTGGATAAAGTGCTGGAATTGACGGCTAAGAGGTACCAGTACTTGCAGCATCAAGCCAACGAGTCGTACGCGGATTTGACGAGTTTGGTGAAGTTTGCCGTTACTCGTGATGCTGGTGACGAGTAGTGGCTCCATTTGTCTATATTTGTGATCATTTTGTTGATTATGTCTAGGAAAATAAATGTGGTATCTATCCAGAATTAGGCTTCTAAAATTATTTTGGCTTCCAGGATTTTGTCGAATGCTCTTGTGTGATCTGTTATGCTTTGTTGAAGTCGAAGGATTTTGAATGTTTGTTCTATTCACTGTGTATTGTTTGCATTTGAAGCGATCTTTGAATAGAAGGTTAAGGAAGGAGTAAAATGCTATCCATGTATTCATGCATGGTCGACGGAACGGGGACCCTCGGGTGTGGATTATTGATAGTTCTGTTTGACGATTCATTGACACATTTGAATCTGATTTGAAATTTTGTGGATTTGTCAGTCTTTACTGAGGTTATTTCATGTTATTTATTATTTATTCTACTTCTGATAGTTGTATAAAGGTAGTAAATCTAGCAGGAAATAGTGGCAGAACTTAAATTAACAGTGAAACTATTGCTATTTATCGAAAAAGACTGTAAAATAGTTGGTTGCGTAGCGTGCGGTAGATCTCGGTCAAAAATCGAGTGAAAAAATGGAATATATTTTCGCTGGTAAGTGACTATATAGGGTGAGTCTTAAATAAGTGCAAATATTTTCAGGGGTGGTATATACTCTGTTTTTTTTCTCAGGTTAGCCAGTTTTATTGGTTTACTTAAAAAATGACAGATCGTATTTCGATATTATTGGTTTGACGGAACGACAAACGACAAACGAATGACAATGCATATGAACCCGACTTAAGATTTTTTAGAGTTGTCAAATTCTTGCCAAATTATAGGTTATAATTTTGTGTCAAATTATGACAAATAGAAATGATAAATATTTTGCTTTTTGCGTTTTGGACTGTGTTATTACGTGTGTTTCGTGTTTTTTTTTCAAATTAAGTGGAGGAAAACTCGAGGGAAAATTAAGTTGTTGATCCAGACCATAGTTTACAGTTAATATTCGCTGCCCACAGATCGTCAGAGACACAATTTGCCAGGGAGTTGTGTATTAGCCACAAATAAAGTTTGTATACCATCTCATATATGGTACCAAAAACTGGAATATCTGTAAAATAACATCATACGATAGGTAAATCATAAATTTTAGTACTGCAGAAAGATAATATCAAAAGGTACTGTCTATTTAATAAAATAACTCGATTAGACTTTTTCCGTTTTAAGCTTGATTTTCATGCATGCGTTGTCCGACGATACGATATTAATTTTATTGGTTGAATTTAACATCGTATTATCGTAGCGTCAGATAACGGATGCATGAAAATCAAGTTTTACACAGTTTTTTTCACAACATTTTGAAGTAATCGCTTGTCACTCAGATTTCAAATATAATATGCTATTTGTTCCAATTATACCAACTTATTTCTTTGTAAAATAAAATAAACTACTTTGAAATTATTATGACAGATACATCTATCACTGTCAAGGAGCTTGTCGTTGGACAGACTATAATTCGACCCCAGGGGCGCTATTCTGTAGAATCGTCGGTATCGGTAAGTTACCGACAACTATCGGTACATACGGCCAATGAGCGTCGTGTTGATTGTTGTTGTCATAGTTACCGATCGGCCCTATGGCAGATATCGCAATTTTGTACCGAAGACTCTCGGTATCTCTACCGTGAAGTTAACAAGGGCACGGTAGAGATACCGATTTTCGTCGGTACAAATTTGCGATATATGCCATAGGACCGATCGGTAACTATGACAACAACATTTTTACTATATACAAATACGTATCGAGAGCTCTACCGACGATCATCGGTATCTCTACCGTGCCCTTGTTAACCTCACGGTAGAGATACCGAGAGTCGTCGGTACAAATTTGCTATATGTCCTATTAATGACAGCTAAAACTATGACAACAACAATCGACACGACGCTCATTGGCCGTACGTACCGATAGCTGTCGGTAACTTGCCGATACCGATGATAGTACAGAATAGCGCCCCAGGGGCGCTATTCTGTACACGGCATCGACATTCGTCGGTATCGACAGCTCTCGATACGTATTTGTATATAGTAAAAATGTGTTAATTGTTGTTGTCATAGTTACCGATCGGCCCTATGGCAGATATCGCAAATTTGTACCGACGAAAATCGGTATCTCTACCATCCCCTTGTTAACCTCACGGTAGAGATACCGAGGGTCGTCGGTACAAATTTGCGATATCTGCCATAGGGCCGATCGGTAACTATAACAACAACAATCAACACATGTTTACTATATACAAATACGTACCGATAGCTGTCGGTAACTTACCGATACCGACGATTGTACAGAATAGCGCCCCAGGAACTCGTCTATGAGGTTTTTTTCGATAAAAAAAAGATGTTGAAAGTCGTGCATTTTCTTTTAAATTTCCCTGTATATTTTTTGAACTCCCTGTTCACCGCAAATTTACCTACGGTATAATTCCTTAATCTCAGATATTACCATAATTACGGCTTTATGGTTACAGCAATAAAAGGGATGCAAATACAGAAAAAATCCGGTGGCTCTCAAATTTTTTTCAAAAAAAAATCATTTTTTTTTTAATTTTCAAACTTAAATAACTCGGTTATTTTGGACTTATCTGAAGAATGGTAAAGAGAAAATATGTTTCTTTTATCGAGATCTACCAGCCCTGAAAATATTTGCACCTATTTAAGACTCACCCTGTATAATATACATACGTAAACCGATCATTTATGAAATTCACTTAGAATTAACTAATTATGTATTTTTTTCTGGAATTTCTGCTTTTATTTACTACTTGTCAAAGAATTTAGATACGTCAATTTGACTTACCTGCTTCAGTAGCATATCGGATGTTTATGTTAATAAATAATTATTATAACTTATTTATTTTTATTAGAATCCCCATATATTTTTATAACAATTTTAATAACTAGCAACATTTATTCACAACGTAAGATAAAACAACAAATTATTGAGTCTACCCTACATCTTACATCATACTTTTACACGTTTTGAATAAAATTATATAGAACGGCACTGATAAACGCGGTCGATCTAAGATTTTTGATATGCTCCTTTCTTAATCTTTTTATTCAAAGGGAGCGATGATGGGACCTCAAAGTAAGAGACTTTTGTAACAATATTTAATAATTTTCTTAAAAAAAAAATAAGCTAGGGAGCGTCAGAAGGGCTTCTGTCACAATACAAATAAAGAAAATTGTAACTAATTTAAGTTACGTATCAACATTAAATTGGTAATAATTTATCTAGCTATAACAAATATTTTCTCTAATGTCTCTCATGAAAATGTATGATATGCTTAGTAAGCCCTTTAAACGTAACAAAGACATATTAATTTAACATCCTTTTTTGTTTCAGTAACATGAGACCAAAATTGGTGAAGCCCTTCTGAAGCCCGTCACCGTATCATTTAACAAAGTCGCCAGTTCCGTACATAAGACAGAAAATAAGTTTTCTTCTAATTTGTGAAAATTATATGCCAGTTTATAATCTGAATAAAATGTTTTTTCCTAGTGTCTATGTGTTTTATTTTATTTCGCTCTCCAGGCACGAAACATGAAACTGTTGTTTTTTTCTGATAAACATTTCTTGATGTATTTTTATAACTAAATAATGAAATCTTAGTTTGTATTATTGAATAATTTTTATAAACTCCCCTGCACCAAATTCCGCCACCCTAAAATTTTGACTAAGATTGATGTTTCATAACTTTTTAATTTGTAATTCGATTTTTATGATTATGGTATTAGTTTGTAGATAAATTTATTGGCATTATTTTTTATTATTTTAATGGTTTATATATTTCGGTTAGGTGGGCTGATTGAATGGTGATTAAAACGTTTTTGCTGCAACATTACAACAAAGATTCAAATGAAAGATCCGCGCTTAAGTTAATATTAATTAATAATATAATAAATATACCATAGGATCGAAAAAAACGGCGTCTAGTTGGCTTGGAAATGAATATAGATGACATTCCCCACATAAAATGACAGCGATTTTCTTTTCATAGCCATCGCTGACGTCTTTTTTTTCGATCATACGGTATAAGAAGTTAGGTTGGGTTAACTGGTTAACGCACTTGTCTTTTTACGTTTTTGGTATCACATTTTATGCTTTTCGAATGAGAATTTAATGAATGTAAATGTAAGTATAATTTTATTATTATGTGTATTTTAATAATACTTAGCCATGAATAAGTATAACAATTTTGTTTAGTTTAGTTTGTTTTTAAGCTAAATTTTATGTTTTAGGTTCGCTTTTAGCCAACTGAAAATTGGAGTAGATAAAATCAGGATACGAGTATATCAATCTAACGATAAAATCACAAATAATATTCAGTATTAATTATTCTCAATAATATTTTTTTAATGATGTTATAATCATTTGAAATTTTAAAATAAGGACATAAAGGGGCCTCAAATATTACTGTCACAAGAGGTAAGTTTCTCATTGCTTTTTTATTTATTACAACTGATTGTTTTTATTTTTACTACTTTAGAAATGATTGGATATAGATTTCAAAACTTTGCCGAAGAGGAATTTGAAACCATGAATAAGACAATTCAACATGCGAAGACAAAATATGAAAGATCCAAAAAATCAATTAAAATATAAGTTTGCTTTTCCTTCTACATACATTTAATGTTATACTTTCCTTTTGTATTTTTGAATAAAAATATAAAATAATGTTTATACTGTACCTATATATTTTGTATTATTTCAGACATTCAACTTTAAGATTTTTTTTTTAGAAATTCGACTCGGAGGTCAGAGTTGAGTAATTCCTTATTTAATGAGCAGCCGAAAAGATCAGTAGGTTCTCAGTACTTGACAGTATTTTTGATATTTTTGAAACAATTAAGTGATAAATTTCTAATTTTTATTTGTTTTTTTTTTCAATTTGTTTGACAAATTCGACTTTCTTGGTAGGGATATATTTACCCACCATTTTTAATTTTTCTATGTCAATTGATATAGAGATATACCTAAATATTTTTATGAATATTGTTTATGTTTTTCGTCAATACAATATTAGTAAAAGTATCTGAAAATC